CGCCTTTCGCTACACGCTTGGGCACTCGACCAGCCGGATCCTGCGAGGGGGTTCACTCGACGATGGCGCAATTCGCTTTCCGCTACACGCTTTTTGGGCAGGGTCGCCCGAGCATGGATCAAACTTGCATTGCGCTACGCGTTTGGGCGCTCGACAGGGCGGATCCTGCAAGAGGGTGCGCTCGACAACCGCAGAATTCGCACTTCGCTACACGATTGGGCGCTCAGCACGCCGGATCCTGCGACCCTTCCCAGCTTGCGAACCTCCTTCCACCACCATCACCACCATCACCTCGATCTCTAGATTTTCTGCTGCGTCGCCTCCAAACCTCAAACGCACTGCTTGGGGTCTCTTGCCGGGATAATTATTGTTACGCAGGTTTCTGGAGAAGATCTGGGCTTTACCTGAAGTTCCAGGCGATTCAAAAGAGTCTCCCCTTTGGAGAGCAGGTTGACGCAGTTTTAAGTAGATTAGTAGAATGACTTTAACAAACGTTGATCTTCCGCATTTGGCCGTCAAAAGAAGGAGGATCGGGCTTGAAATCGGGAGAAGGGTCGACGTATGTGGTTCATGGCCCTTTTTTTAGGGGAGGGCTCCACCCGGTCGGAGCCCTGTTTCCCTCACGATCGGATGATTTTGGCGGTGGCAGAGGCATAGGCATAGGGATTCCTTTCGTGACTCGTGGAGTGATGCTGACTGGTAGATGTGAAGTTTCACGGATGTTGGAAAGTGTCAGTTTTTCCTTCAGTGATTTAGAGCGCGGTGTTTGTGAACACTTGGCACCAAGGTTCATGCCGTTGCCAATGTCGCTGCTGACTTTTGTAATTTGCTGCCTTTGGAGCGCCTCATCTGTTAAACCGATCGTTTGTGACCGCTGGAGTGGCCTCCATTGTTCACGGGAATCGCCGTGGGGCAGGAGATGACTGTGGAGATGACCTTGGTCTAAAGGATTCCGAAGCGTTTTCGAATTAGTAGAGCTAATAATTGCTGCTAGGGATTCATTTTCTGGAATATAATCTCCTAAGCCATATTCATGGCAAAACTGTTTTGGCTGTGCTTCCTCAGACCATCTCGACCGCTTCCAGGTGGACAGGCGCTTTTGATTCAAAACCCAGCGGTTTTCATTCCGAACTTCTTGGGCATTTTGATGGGCCGCGCGGCCAAGACGTGACGTGACGTGCGTTCGGCCATCTCTACGATGTTAAAGGGAGCGGTTGGGAGGTTCCATGAGAGGGGCCGGGCGGAGCAATCCAATCAGTGTGGGCCCCCCGAACCATGTGGACGTTGTTCGTCACAGAATTCTCTCACATACAGATACATTGGTACCATGGCCTTCGGAGGAGGGGCATCGAATTCATTGCTTAACTCCAACAGATTCTTTTAAATGATTCCAACACTTTTCTTCATTCAGGACACTTTCTGGGTCTGAGATGAATGCATTTGCTGAGTCGGCCCTTCGTCTTCGTCTTCTTCGTACGTACGTTGGTTCAAAGACGTTCAAAGGCATAGCGCAGCTTGTGCTCTATGCGTGCTACTGCAAGACGCCGCAGTCGCGTGGGTGTGACAGCAGTCGCGATGTGATGCTGGCCTCGACGGCCTCAGCGTGAGGTGAGGTCAGGGCGGAGACTGGTTATCGTGGTGCGAGTCGCAACCGTTTGGTGCGAGGCGTGGGTCTTTTCTCTTGTTCAAAGAATAGGAGATCGGAGACTGTAGATTTGTGTCAGGACGTGGCGTCGGACAGCTTGCAAATGATTTTTTCCCCACCTGCCAGGTGAGGGTTGTTAGGCTTTATGACAGTTGTTCTTCCTCCTTCCTTCCTTCCTTCCTTCCTCCCTCCCTCCCTCCCTCCCTCCCTCCTTGCTTCCTTTCTCGCCAACCTCCTCGCCAATCTTCATCGCCAATCTTCATCGCCAATCTGCTTCGCCAATCTGCTTCGCCAATCTGCTTCTGGCAAGCTCCGGATCGCAGTGTGCACCGCTGGACCTCAATCGCAAGGATCCGATCGCAGTGTGCACCCCTGGACCTCAACCGCAAGG